AACCCCCCTTAAAACATTCAGGGTTAATTGGCTTGACGTCTATAGTCGTCTTTAAGGCCTACAGGAGTTGTTCACTTGAAGATATTTGTAATCATTGCTCTTAGAAAATGGTTGTAGGTAGGTAATAGTTAAGATATTTTTGAAGTTTGAATAAATTAAAACTTTTAAAACCAGAAAAAGAAAAGAAAAAAAAAGCAGGACTGGAAATTATAAGGGAAGTGAGGATATCTAGAAGAGAAACAAGGCGAAGGAAAAAAATCTCTAAAGAATCAGATGGTGAGATTAGCCGTCTCCTTATAAGGAAACATTCGACAGTCATTGATCCAACAGTGTGTGTTACTATCGGTTGAAAATTTATAAAATCTTTCTATTAAAATAAATTTTTTGGAAAACACATTACTCAAGACCACTGTTATCACTCTTCAATTATTGATGGGAGTTTCCTTCCTAGCCTTTTGTTCGGAGTAGTGTGGAAATTTAACATCTTGATTATTTTCTCTTTGAGTCACACGTGCTATCCATTTAGTTGTTGCTGCATTTGAAAGTCCTCAAATGATATGTTTTCTGTTATTTAGTAAAGTGCTTTGTGATTCTGTAGCGCCAGTGTACGACATTAGAGGAAGGATGGTCTTTTCTAAGACCTAGAGTCTTCATTTGCTCGAAGCCATTTTTAATCATTTATCTGAAAGTTCAGTTTTATGCTGCTGACAGTTCAGACATTTCTAATCGTGGTTGGCGCCATGCATGCCATTCATATTAAGGTTTCGACCTGACGTGGATATTTCAACAATTTAGGTTAATATTTTGATTTTTTTTTCAGTGTTTGATAAAGCTAACCATTGTACATCCTGGCCTTCCCGCCTTCAAAACGGGTCTCCTTGATGATCCCTCTGAGTTTGGAAAAAGAAAAAAGTCACATGGAGAAAGATCAGATGAATAGGGAGGTTGTTCCAGTACGGCAATGTTCCACTCGACGGTAATTGCCGGATGCTCAGGGCGTTGTGAGCAGGTGGTGAAACAGCCACGATTTGTCCTGACACAACTCTCGTCTTTTCTCGGGTACTGAGCGAAGCAAACGCCACAAGATGTCTTTGCAAACTTTGTCGTTATAGCCCATTTGATGCCCCCCACCACGCCTTCAAAACTAGTCCATTTGATAATACTCTTCAGATTGTGTGGAAAAGTGGCATGGAGCAAGATCAGGTGAATAGGGAGGTTGTTCCAGTACGGCGATGTTTTTCTCGGAGGGTAACTGACGGATGCTCAGGGCGTTGGGTGCAGGTGCATTGTCGTGGTGAAGCAGCCTCGATTCGTCCTGCCACAAAATGCAATGGTTGCATTAAACTAACATTACAGTTATATACTACAAAGATATCAAAGTTACAAAGATGCTTCTTTCGCCCAGAGCTCACACAGCAGTCCCGTTACGTATCAGACAGGCTTCGTAGTTCCTCTATCAGACCAAGCATTCTGTGGGGCCAGAATTTAGAAGACGATCTGTGATTGTCAAGAAAATGAGGACTCTATTGATGTGGCCACCTGATAGATGAACGTAGCAGATATACGATTTTCTGTTTGAAAGGTATTCTATTTTCTAGGATCGCTTGATGACGTACATATCATCATTACACCCTTTATTAGAACGAAAACAAAATAGGATCTTTAGAATCTGACATTCATAGAATGGTGAGAGTCTATATGAGTTAAGGTTGTGCACGGATATAAAACATCGACCTCATTTAAAAAGTGAATGAACATACAACAACATAAATATATGAAAAGTTCAACTAAAACACAAAAGTCTTCGTATAAAAATAATTGTACAACACACATATATAACGTCATCCACAGACAGACTGTTTCGCAGCTCATCAGTGTGGCTAGACATCTGGTTGCTTTTAGTTATGATCGAAACCCGACTGAATTGGTGTCAGTCGGAGATTCTGACCATTAAGCCGTCGGCGCACGGTAGGGATGAAAGTGGATTTTTAGCGTATTTATTTTTAGAAACACGCCCAGTATATGTATGTATGTATATATGTATGTATGTGTGTGTGTGTGTGTGTGTGTGTGTGTGTATATATATATATATATATATATATATATATATATATATATGAGAAGATTACTTTGAAATATCAATTTTACCCCGAATTTTGGTAAAATTCCAGTCTTCAGGGGTTGTGGTTTTAAGCAGTAGAAATACTGTTCAAAACCACAACCCTTGAAGACTGAAAATTTTACCAAGAAACTTCGAAGTCGGGATAAAACTGATATTCAAAAGTTAAGTCATCTTTTCATATAATATTATTAACGCTCTTTTTTTTTATTATTATTCTAATATCTTAAATATGGAGCACTAGATATAAAAAATGTCTGCTATTTTCTTAAATCTTATATAATTTCGAATATTTATATATATACTCACACACACTACAGTTTTACACCCCCCATCAACTGTGAGGTAAGGGTTGGACTTTGGCTATGCCGCCCGGAACTTCGTTCCTGGTAGGGCCACCCAAGGCGGACAGGTCTGACACACACGCCGTCTAACAAGGGCTCTGGTGAAAATCCAAGGAGCGTCTGCATCGGTAACCGGCGGCTTCTGGTCGTTCCTGTCTCTGCGTTTGTGGGAACCCCGCGGCAAGCAAGAACGTTATCCGAGTAGGCCTGGGTACCCTACTTCTGTAATTTATCCCAAGAATCTTCTTCTCATAACAGGAAGAAGCCGGCTCAATCCGCCCAGGGTGAATGCCGCATCAGTACAGTACAGTACACACACACACACACATATATATATATATATTTGAATTTCTTAACACGAAGTTAGCATGTATCTACTTTCAAAAGGCTTATCTGGTTTGTCACGAGCGGGAAATGGTAAAAAAGAAAAAAAAAAGAAAGAAAAAATGATTTTCCGTCTAACGATGTCTTGTGCGGGTCTCATCAGGTCATGTGACTGTTTACTATTCTTGTGAATATTTATAATTAATTTTTATTGTTGTTTTTGCTTGGTCAAAGGGAGATAACTTTTTGTCTCTTGCTATAGGATCTTCAGTACTAGCTATTTGTTCACATAGTGTATTAATACGTGATATGCTCCATTGCTTTGGGATGTGTTGCTTATTTCAGACATTCCACACTGACCTGAGAAAATTGTTTTTGAATTTGGAGAGAACGTATACTCAACAGTTTATTCTTACAAAGGCGATTGATAAGTTAGAAAATTTAAAATATACTCAGTTCATTCCTTACTAGGCACAAATAAAGAAGAGGCTTTCATTTCATTTTTAATATATTTTGCCTGAATGTTTTAGTTTTTTTCTCTTGGATTGAAGCTGAAAAAGATACAAACAAAAAAATAACAGATGTTGCAATCAAAAGAAGGAAACGTAAAAAACAAAACAAAAAACGACCAAACGACATTTTGAAAATGTCGCCGTCAATGGCGGCTGAATCGGAAGTCCAGTCAAATGAAGAAACGGAACGAACAGACTAGTGACCTAATAGAGTTATACAATGGCGGGGGTTGGCGGGATAATGGTCGGATGAATGACAATGCTACAGGCAATGATTTCTTTATGTTGTTTTGATACGGTCAGTTGTAATGTGGAGTAGACAGTTTGCCGCTTTGCTTGCTAATGCTAGTTCAGCGTAAAGAAGATTCGGCCATGTGGAACATTGGCTGCCTCCTGGGAATGGCGGATGAAGGAATAAGTGGGGAATTGTTGGGAGGCTTAGGACATTATTATTTTGGCGAGGAAACATTTTATTTTTCTGTTATTAATGTAGGGACAGCATTTTTTTTGTTTTATGTAAGTATATTGTCTCTAATTTGGGTATATACAGAGTTTTGAAAGCTCAAACGTAGCGTGAAGGAGTGTTTCTATCGTCTGTGTACTGCAAATCAGGCTGAGCAAAAGAAGAATGGAAAAAGAGAGAGGGAAAAAAGAGAGAGAAAGAGAGAAGAATGGAGAGAAAGAACTATCTGTAACCGAAATATTAATTGAAGTACGTGAAAGCAATATAAAAAAAGTAAGAAGAAAGAAAAGGAGATAGAAAATAGTAAGAAAGTAAGAAAGAAAACAAGACATAGATAGATAGATAGATAGATAGATAGATAGATAGATAGATAGATAGAGAGAGAGAGAGAAAGGGAGAAAGAGTGAAAGAATAAGAACTAATGATGGAGAGAAAAGAGAGAAAGAGTTTATTTTAGAGAGAGAAGGAAGCAAAGAAAAAATAAAGAAATTGAGGAGAAAAAAAGAGAGAAACGAAGAGAAAAGTAAGAAAGCGATCAAGTGAGTGAGAGAGAGAGAGAGAGAGAGAGAAAGAAAGAAAGAGAAAGAGAGGCGAAAGAGTGTGGTAAAATGTTGTGACATAGAGAAGATATTGTTTTAGAGAGAGAGAGAGATGATAAAGAGTAAAGGGAAAAGGAGTGAAGCGAAAAGGTAAGTATTTGAGAGAGAAATGGAGGAAGAAAGGAAGGTAGGAGGTGGATAGAGAGAGAGAAAGGAGGAGGAAGAGAGAAAGCGGTCTTTCGTATTGAGAACATTTGGGGAAATATTGCTTTAGATTCAGAAAATAAGAGAAGGAAATAAAAAGAAAAAGAGAGGGTAAAAATGTTAGTGGGGGTGAAGAAAGGGAGAGAAAGAGTGGAAAAGAATGCAGATAATAAGTATAAAATAAGAATTTTTTTTTGGTATTCTTTGATATATTTCAATGTTTTAGAAATTCTTAAAAGACTATTCCAATTGCTGGTCATCTCTGCCATTGTCATAGATGTGTTGACAATTCAGTCAGTTATGTGCCATGCGTGATACACGCTTAAGCGATCATGTATCTTTCGATACTGATTGATGAGGCAGATTTTTTCCCGCAGTAGTATTTTTTTTCTGCGGCAGACCAGTTGCCATCCAAGGCTATAGAACCCGGTCTGTTCTGCTATTTACCCATAGATGGGGGGGAGAAGAAGAGACAATGACAGAAGAAGGTTTCATATGCAATTATTATTGTCATTTTTTCTTTCTCTCTCCGTATTTCGATGCAGTTTCTTTTCTTTTTATTCTTTTTTCGTTTTCCCCCTTTTCTTTCCATTTTCTCGTTTCCTTTTCTTGTTTCTTTCGTCTCTATTCTTTTTCTTCCTCTTTATTTTTTTCTTTCTTTGTCTTTTTCTTTTGATTCTTTTTCTCTTTCTTTTTCTTTTCAATTCTCTTTCTTTTTCTTTTCATGTCTCTTTCTTTTTTCTTTTCATTTCTCTTTCTTTTTCTTTTCATTTCTCTTTCTTTTTTCTTTTCATTTCTCTTTTCATTTCTCTTTCTTTTTCTTTTCATTTCTCTTTCTTTTTCTTTTCATTTCTCTTTCTTTTTCTTTTCATTTCTCTTTCTTTTTTCTTTTCATTTCTCTTTCTTTTTCTTTTCATTTCTCTTTCTTTTTTCTTTTCATTTCTCTTTCTTTTTTCTTTTCATTTCTCTTTCTTTTTCTTTTCATTTCTCTTTCTTTTTTCTTTTCATTTCTCTTTCTTTTTTCTTTTCATTTCTCTTTCTTTTTCTTTTCATTTCTCTTTCTTTTTTCTTTTCATTTCTCTTTCTTTTTCTTTTCATTTCTCTTTCTTTTTTCTTTTCATTTCTCTTTCTTTTTTCTTTTCATTTCTCTTTCTTTTTGTCTTCTTTTTCCTATTCATTTCTTTTTATTTTCTTTCTTTGTCTTTTGTCTTTGATTCTTTCTTTCTATCTTTTCTTTTTCATTTCTCTGTTTTATCTTCCTTTTTCTTTTTGTCTTCTTTTCCCCGAGTCATTTTTTTTATTTCCTTCTCATTTCGTCTTTTCAGTTTTGTTCTTTCTTTGTGCCTACTCTTTTTCTTCTTTTTGCTTTTTCTTTTTCTCTTTTTCTCTATTTTTGGTTTTCTCCCTTCGTTTTCTTCTCTTTCCCTTTTCTTTTTTTATTCATTTTCATTTCTTTTCTTCTTTTTCTTTTTTTTTCATTTTCTTTTCTTTTTTTTTGTTTCCCCCTTTTTGGCTTTTCTTAGTTTTTCTATATATTTTTTTGCTTTCTCATTTCTTTTTCTTCTGTTTTCTTTTCCTTCTCTCTTCCCTTTCTTCTCTTTTCATTTCTTACTTCGAAGTTAACCCTCAGGTCTGCACACCCAGAAATTGCGCATTATACACGAGGGGTACATTTTGAGCGGCACTCAAAGCAAGCATGCGACCCATCATCATGGCAATAGACTCTTCTGGAAGACGATGATCACCAATCTGTAGAATTCTATGAATCGCATATCATGAAGGGCAGCAGAAATGTTCTCAGTTCGAACTCCTTCTCCCGATCAAATTATCAGAATTTTTTAGTTTCTTATTAGTCAGGCCGAGAACATTTCAGCACCCACTCATATACATACAGAGTGTGCATAAAGTTTAAAAAAATTATAACTTTATTTGCACTTTAAAAAAATTATAACTTTATTCATATTTGCGATAGAAATAATCTGTAAAAAAAATGTTATAAAGTTTAATGTACCTAGTTTTAAGTATAGCTAAAATAACTAATGTGATTTCAGGCATTACTGTAAATCAATTGGCAAATGTTTTCCGTGAACTGCAAAATCGTATTACCCTTTGTATTGCTTATGATGGAGGACATGTGGAAACTTAAATAAAATTTCAATAAAACCTTAAAAAAATATAGATTTACTTCTTTCTAATCCTTTTTACAAATTATTTCTATCTCAAATACAAATAGTTATAAATTTTTTTAAAGTGCACACGAACTTTATGGACACCCTGTATATGCCAAATGATATTTCTAACTATACACTAAGTATTAAATGCATTAATGAAATAAGAAGTTGTCGAGAGCCTTGATCCTGAAAAGACATAGTATATTAAAGAAGAAATATGGGATTAACCAAGATATAAAAAAGTAAATTTACATTTCATTGCCACAGAATTAGATTGCCAAGAATTATTCTTGCTGCAAAGGATCAATTCTTTCTAACTAGAAATTACCAAACACAAATATTGAATAATTGTGGTGACCTCCAAATGCAGATTCTGTGATAAATATCCAGAAAACAATTGACTATCTTGTAAAGATTATCCAAGCGAAGCTTAGATGTTGCACAAAATCGAAAGCATGGGGCATCCAGTGAGAATCGAACTCACTTTTCAGCAGTGACTGATCTAGCAAGACAAGCTTGCTAACCATTACACCACGTCGAGGTGTGTAATTGACTATCTTGTATTAGGTTGCACGGTATTGTCACACACTTAATATAAAATACGACACGACAGAGTGGGCCAATATATACATTGGAAAATCTACAACACTTTCGGGAAGGTAACTGCAAGAAATTGGTATGAACACCACACAGACTCCGTTACGAATTATGCGTTTTCGTCACGCGATCTACTTAATTCAATAAAAGAATCGCCCGTGTTGGCTCACTAGCGATCTATGTTCAAACTACAGTGTCGGCAGTGACATTTTATACCTACATAACATAGACTTCTCTTGTTGTCTGGCATTAATGCTTTACTGAAATTATTATCCAACACAGTATATGTGTATAAGATCAAAGATAAAAGGAATAAATAATCTATTTTATATGGATAACTTGAAATTATATGCAAGAAAATGACGATGAATTGGAAGAGCATTTTAGAAATTATGAAAGGTTTCAGTGATGATATATGCATGTAATTTGGGCGCGATAAATTGGCAAAGGCCACCTTCAAGCGAGGAAAGCTTATTGCAACGAGAATATAGTTCTTGATGTAATTACCTGTAATTAAGGAACTCGGCCAGGAAGCTACTTGAATTGAAGCTAAGAGAATGAAGACAATGGAACACAGCATTCGAAGATGATTGGTTTGGTTTGGTTTGGCTTGGCTTGGTTTGGTTTGGTTTGGCTTGTTTTGGTTTGGTCTGGCTTGATTTGGTTTACGGCATATCAACCTAAATTATTGGTTTGGTTTGGCTTGGCTTGGTTTGGTTTAGTTTGGTTTGGCTTGATTTGGTTTAGTTTACGGCATATCAACCTCAATGGGTTATTTAATGCCGACAAAGTTTTTTTATCGCTGGTAATGTGTTTTTCTTCAAAAATCTATTTTAATCTTGCTGCACAGGACCAATGCTTACTAACTAGAAATTGCCAAACACAAATATTGAAAAATTGTGTTGACCCCCGAATGTAGATACTGTGATAAATATCCCGAAACTATTAACCATCTTGTATCAGGTTGTACGGCGTTAGCACCCAACTGAATATAAAATTCGACATCATAGACTGAGCCAATATCTGCACTGGAAAATATGCAACTTTTACGGGAAGTAAACTGCAAGAGACTGTCATGAATATCATGCAGACCCGGTCACAGAGATAGGACCTATTGTAAGAATTTTAAGGGACTTTACAATACACACAGACAGAACAATCAAGGTTAATCGCCCAGACATCGAATTCAAAGATCACAGAAAGAGAATGTGCTTTCTTATTAACATGGCAGTCCTTGCAGATTGTAATATATTTTTGAAGATCTTCAAAAAGCTATCAAAATACAAGGATCTTGAAGTGGAATTATAAAAGAATCTGGCACATAAGGACATCAATTACTCCAGTTGTAGTTGGAGCCCTTGGATTGATTGGAAAAGGTTCCGATAGACTCTGTGAAGTGATTCAGGTAGCCAATGTTTTAAAGAAATACAAAAAATTGTACTCACAAGTATTGCTCACACATTACGAAGAACTTTATCTATGTAAAATGAATGTGATCTTTGTTATTTTTTCCCCAAAAAATGATCAGTGGAAAATGTCATGAAGTCATTTATGACCTGATAACCCTGGTTGGGATCCGGAAAGAAATGTGTATACAACAGAAATCAAAGGAAGAAATAATAATAATAATAATAATAATAATAATAATAATAATAATAATAATGTGAAAATCATGTGAGTAAAATTCCTGGACACATCAACATCTCAGCTACAAAAGATTACCCGGGACTGCACATATCATCCACAAAACCCTCTCTATCAAATCGAAACGACCCAAATATGCATAGATACCTCTCCTACAGAGACCTTTTTACACATAAACTCTGGAGAGAACTTGGCAATTGGCAATCTAAAATTACTCTCTGGCAAGATGTGACTGGGGGTGCATTGGTTATGATAAAAAAGGTACAGAAAATCAGAGTAAATTTCTTGCACACATCAGCACCTCAGAGCTACAAAACATTATTTTTTTGCGCAAAACCCTCTCCAACTAAACGAAACGTCCCAAATGTCCATAGATAACTCTCTTAAAGTGCTCTTTTTAATCATAGATCCTGGAGAGGGCTAGTTAATTAGGCATTTAAAATTGCAAGCTAATACTTCAAATAATAATAATTGTAATGTCGCTGAAGCGAAGGCAAAACAGTAGCTGGTAAAGGGTTTTGAATTAGCAACAGAAGCAACCCTCGATGACCCAGAGGAAACTGAATGTAAACCCATTGATATTCTGGCGTCGGATGACATATTTGGAAGAGAAAGATATACATGAAAAGGTTACGGTTTTTTTCTGAAGATCAAATTGACTGCCTGTAATCTTATAACTGTCGTTAATAACTGTGATGTATCTGTGGTAAGATATAATGAAGAAGTGGTTGAGTAAACAAAAAAAAAGGAGTTACAGAGACTAGACAGAAAGATCCGAATACTGCTTTTTGAGAATGGTACTCTGCACCAAAAGGCAAATGTGATAAGATTATACACTTCACGGAAAGGAGGAGATATAATAGCTATCAACATTGAAGAGTGTGTAGCGACTGAACGTAGGTCGTCAGACTGGTACTTGGAAAACAGTAAACAGAGACACTCTTGAAGTGCGAGGTGAAATCAAAGACTCTTGTAAAAGAAGACATTGATAAAAGAAGAATATAGGAAATGGGAACTGAAAGAGAAGTTAAAAGCAAGAGAGGCAATGGCCGCTTCATGGGCAGTTTGAGATGGACACCGAAGCGTATTAAGATAAAAATAATAATCTTGGGATTGGTTGATGGAAGGCGAAGTGAAACATACGACTGAGAATCTATTGGTAGCCACTGAAGACCAAGTCCTGAACACTAATTATGTCCAGAAGAACATCTACCAACAAGTGGATTAGGCACTTAAAATTACAAGATGTTAACTTACACAATAATAATAATTGTAATGACGCAGAAGCGAGGGCAAAGAGTATCAGGTACTGGGATTTGAATTACCAACAGAAGCAACCATCGCTGACCCAGAGGAAACACTTTGGCATTCTTGATGGTTTGGTTTGGTTTGTTTTACGGCATATCAGCCTCAATGGGTTATTTAATGCCGACAAAATTTTTATTGCTGGTAATATTTTTGGTTTGGTTTGGTTTGTTTTAGTTTGTTTTACGGCATATCAACCTCAATGGGTTATTTAATGCCGACAACATTTTTATAGCGGATAATATGTTTTTCTTTAAAAATCTATTTCTGTGAATATTTTTCATTGAAAAAATCTATAGCTGGTAATATTTTTTTAAAGAATGTAATTTGTATTGCTTTTTTTTTTTTAAAGTATTGCTGATAATTTTTCCTTAAAAAATTATTGCTGGTAATATTTTTTTATTACAAAGTATTTCTGGTATTAAAACCTATTTTTACACAAGTTTGGGTGTCAACTATTTGCCCATAACTATTACCCTAACAGGTGCTACCACCCCGGGCCAGGGTGGACCTGGGATTGCCAGCAATTAAGAGGTGGTCCCACGCTCCTCAAAACCTTCTGATCAGAGGCCTTGCTGTTGGACGTAGTTTATCCTCTTACCCAGGACGCGGATGTAGTTTAACGTCACACCCAGGACGGGGCATTCTTGAGTTAGATAACATCATAGTGAGAAATATGAAAGAACTGATTGTAGAGGCACAGGTTCATGGCTTCTTCTGATGTCCAAGTTGAATGCTCGTCGTGTGACAACTGCCGTACGCTGCAGTATTTCAGTTGACGAAGGAGGAGTTAGAAACTCTGGAAAGAATGAACCGAACTGTGGCTTTGGAGAATGGTACCCTGCACCAAAAGTCGAAAGTGATAAGATTATACAAACCGCTGTGTGTCAGTTGCATGCAAAACTC